AGGGCAGTCCACATTTAAAAAAGTATCTGAGGGCTTCTCTTGAACCATGAGGAATAAACAACAGAGCCCACATTCCCACTTGGCAGAACCAGCGGAAGGCCCCCAGGGCCCTTCAGGAAGAGCGCATTCCTCAAGAGCATTCGGCAGGTCGGGTGGTGGTCTGTTGAGTGGGGTGTCTGGGTATCAGAAGAGTGGGACCCGCTGGGAGGTACATACAAAGCACCAACCCGTGTGTCTCACATCAGGAAAATTAATGATTATTTCTGCTCTGTGTTGTTCAGCCCAGTGACCACTTCTCAGTCTTGCCGATCTCCATACCTGCCTGATCCTAGAAATATGTTTTCAATAATAGTACTTGACTCTAAACCAAGCATAGAAAAAAGTCCTGGAAAGCGACTCTTCCTGCCGTCCTGTCCCATGCTAATAAAGTCACCTTTTTTGCAAGAAAAAAAAGTTTAAGTCCGCAAACAAGTACGAGACTGACCGGGGAGGTGGAATGATGTGTGACTTTAGTTTCAAATAACAAGTACTGTAATAAGGATGCTATTCTGGAAATTAAAGGAGTATCCAATTTTCCCTTCTCCTAAGTAGTAACCCTAGTGCCTTCTAAGACCAAAAGGACTGTTAGTTTTCGAGAATTGCTGACAACCCGGCCATCTCTTTCGTAGCTGAATACATATTCATGGCTGAAATTCGAGGTCCACCAGCAAATATTCCAAAAGGCGTTTGAGCCAGGGCGATAGATCAAGGGAAGCCGGTTAATCGCAGGGAATATAAACAGCTTTGATCCATAGCAGGACACCATGGGCAAAAGGCTTCTGGCTGAACAAAATTACTCTGAGAAAACTAAATCAAGTTCTATAGATTACAGATTTTTATTTAGATCCTCACCATGCGTGCAAAGGAAGCCTAGAAACTCCCCATAAAGTTTTAGTTCATGTATTTGATTGTAGCTTTTATGTTTGCTGTTCTAAAATTTTTATTGCTAAAACTAATACGACTTTTCTATCCCTGTGTGATCAAAAAAAAAAAAAAGATCGTCATAGGATAGAAAAGTCGTATTAGTTTTAGCAATAAAAATTTTGTAGCCAGCAACATAAAAGCTACACACCGAAATAAGTTATTAACTAAAACTTTTATGGGAGTTTAGAAACCTTCCTTTTGTATCGCGGGCGTGTGGAGGAACTCAGTCAGGTGTCTGTAATCTATAGAACTTGATTTAGTTTTCTCAGGAGTACTTTGCTCAGCCAGAAGCCTTTTGCCCATGGTGTCCTGGTTATGGATCAAAGCGGTTTATATTCTCAGTGATTGTCCTGCTTCCCCCTTGATCTAGACGTCCTGGCCTAAATCGATGCCTTTGGCAATATTTGCTTGCAGGACCTCGACTTCAGCCATGAATATGTATTCAGCTACGAGTTATAGCGGCCGGGGGTTGTCAGCAGCCTCTGAACGAACAGTCCTTTGGTCTTGTAGCTGCACTAGGGGTTACTGTTTAGGGAGAAGGGAAAACGTCTTTGGATACTCCTTTTGTCGTAACAGTACATCCTTGTCATACAGTACTTGTTATTTACAAAACTAAAGTCACACATCATTCCACCTCCCGGTCAGCCCTTGGGTACTTGTTTCCAGGACTTTAAACTTTTTTTTTTCTTGGTGCAAAAAAGGTGACTTTATTAAAGCATGGGGACAGGACGCGCGGGCAGGAAGAGCTGCTTTCCAGGACTTTTTTTCTATGTTGGTTTAGGAGTCATACTATTAAGTTGAAAACAGATATTTCTAGGGATCAGGCAGGTATGGAGACGAGCAAGACTGAGAAGTGTGGTCACTGGGCTGAACAACACAGAGCAGAAATAATCACACTCTTCCTGATGACACACGGGTTGGTGCTTGTATGTACCTCCCCCCAGCGGTCCTTACTCTTCTGATGCGAACTCCGTACACCCCACTAACAGACCACCACCTGACCTGTCAGAATGCTCTTGAGGAATGCCTTTCCTGAAGGGCCCTGGGGGCCTTCCTGCTGGTTCTTGCCAAGTGGGAATGTGGGCTCTGTTGCCTTATTCTCATGGTTCAAGAGAAGCCTCAGATACTTTTTTAAATGTGGACTGCCCCAACTTTTACATATATTGGCTCGTTTGCAGTATCTGTTGTAGACAGTTTTGAGATTTTTTTTTCTTTCTTTTTCTCCTTCTTCTTCTTTTTTAATGATTTATTAAAAAAAAAATTTCTTTTTTTTTTTAACGTTTATTTGTTTTTGAGACAGAGACAGAACATGAACGGGGGAGGGTCAGGGAGAGAGGGAGACACAGAATCCGAAACAGGGTCCTGAGCGGTCAGCACAGAGCCCGACGCGGGGCTCGAACCCACGGACTGCAAGATCATGACCTGAGCCG